AGATAGATAGATAGATAGATAGATAGATAGATAGATAGACAGATAGATAGATAGATAGATAGATAGATAGATAGATAGATAGATAGAGAGATAGATAGATAGATAGATAGATAGATAGATAGAGAGATAGAGAGATAGATAGATAGAATTTCGTCTTTCCTTCATAGTACTATAATGGAGAAGCTTTTTATTTTGCTTGCTTATTCGATATACATATGTATACTTATAATATATTTCAATCTGGCTACCTCTGTGTCCTTATCGATGATACGAGGAATTTTCTAGGGGTTTGGCGCTTTTTCAGTTTTTTCAAGTGATATAAGTTAAGCATGGTCTGATTAGAAGAATTTTGGCCATATTGCGGTGGCAGACGTTTTCCACCAAAAAATGGAATTTAAGCCTAAAACGTGTGTGTGTGTGTGTGTGTGTAGTGTGTGTGTGTGTGTGTGTGTGTGTGTGTGTGTGTGTGTGTGTGTGTGTGTGTTTTGTATGTATGTATGTATGTATGTATGTATGTATGTATGTATGTATGTGTATATGTATGCATGAATGTGTGTATACATAATATCAGGGTCTGTGGCGTAGCGGTCAAGCACTTTTCTATCGCACGCAGAAGACCCCATTTTGATTCCCAAGTAGAGAGAATTTTTGTTAAGTAGCTCGGTCTTTCTTCTGGGATGTTGTATCCTTACCAACTCATGTTGGCCCTGACAGTATCGACAGGCAAGATCGGAAGCTCGCCCTCTAAATGATCCAAGTTGTGTTAATGGAGATGTAAAAACACCTATCGTATCTTTCAAAATGTAAATATGTATGTACATGTACAATAAAATAGAGAGAGACACGCACACATGCACACACAGAGAGAGAGAGAGAGAGAGAGAGAGAGAGAGAGAGAGAGAGAGCACAAAAAATAGAGTAAAGATAATAGTAGAGAGAGGGATAGGTAGAAGGAGAGAGGGAGAGGGGGCGGAGTCAAGTACCATCCTGCCATTTCTCCTTTTTTACTCTCCTTCTCTAAATCTAAAGCACTCGCTGTTGATATTGAGCAAAAGTTATTGGTAAGGTTTAGCTCAGTAGCACAGTGAATGCATAATAATATACTCTATTGATAAGATCCGAATTATGAGAAAAAAAAGCCTGAATCCGAGCTGCTTGTAGAATAATCTATTTGGTTTACATTAAAAGGCATGGTCACATTTCCTAAAGAACCCCCATCCGTCCTTTGGCGTGTTTTCTTTTACTCATTCGAACCCCGTGTGACCCAATCATGGAACATATCCGGACATTGAATGCTTATTAGAGACCCAAAAGTGACACCGTTTTTTCTGATAGGTCATACACATATATTGCAAGAAAATAATCCACAGTATGCATATTATATCATGGACCGTCTGTGGGGTGCTTATTCAAGAGACGCTGATAGAGAAAAATACACAAAGACTCATCACTCTGACCTGCTCACAGGATAAATTGTTACGTTAGATCCTAGGTCGCTTGAACTTGAATATCTGTTTGATGCGTATCAGGTGATTTGTTAAAGTGAATGAGAAAAACAGACCAAGGATTCCTTCTCTTTTCCGAGAGTCTGATGTCGATGGATGCGAGGTTCACTGTAAAGACATTCGTTAATGGTACTGTGCATTGGTACGTTGTCTTTTCCAATAATACATTGTTACTGTAGTTAGTGTTGAGGCTATCTCTATTCTTTTGAAAGAAATGCTTTTCTGTATGTGAATGGAATTTTCATATGAATGAGTCTGCTATTGGTCTTCTGAATATGTTCATGAATGAACGTAACAATGACCAATGCAATACACTTTGTAATGCAAGCCTCACCAGGACTACACTTTTCAACACTACAACTACAGGTATCTCATACTCATAGCAAGCAAGAAGTTTATCAAGGACAACTAAACTAATTTTTTATATTGGACAACAGCGCAAAGCGTCCCTGGCACTATATAAGCAAAACTATACTTTACTGGTCCACTCCTAGACACACACATATCCAGAATTATGGCGACACATCATACCTCCCCACCCACCACATCCGCTCTCTCTCTCTCTCTCTCTCTCTCTCTCTCTCTCTCTCTCTCTCTCTCCCCTCTTTCCCCCCCCTCTCTCTTTTCCCTCACCGCTAACAAAATAATGACATCATGGTAATTGTAAGGACAAACATTGGAAATACACTGGAAATGAAATATAACTATGAGAGCAAAACCTACTTTTTAGATCATACAAACATGCACATTCGAAAAGGGAAACTTACCTAAGATGTACCAGCTCTGTAGATGTACCAGCAGTAATCCAAACGGCTCTCTAATCGAAAAAAGAAACGATGGTGATCGTAAAGTACTGTTGGAGACCAGATACTGCGCGGCACTGTACGACTGAGTGTTGATGTCATATATTATTTTTAGCAACGGAGTTTCTTTTTGTCCAATTCAAGACAACCCAAAATTTACAAAAAGAGGAGCCCTGTATCTTGCGTATATATAATGTACTCAGCTGCCAGAAATACATAAAATCTTGATCGTCTTGACCGCCTATTGTTTTAAAAGAAGAAAAGCTTGGGAGCACAACGATACTAAACATGTTAGGGTGACATGGAGACACATGGTTGTTGTCACGTTCCAATTATGGGCTGCTAATTTGAAGAAAATGCGAAAATATTTGGGAAGGTTGCCCTCCGGAAAACGTCTATAACGGTGAATTCTTTTCTATTTTAGAATGAAACATCAAGCGATATCGATTCTTTAGATATTCAGGTACCCAAAAATGAACAAAGTTAAAAATTAACCCAAACATCGTGTTTTGCAGACCCAAGTCATGCCTTCTGTTGGCGAAAGGACAGAGTCCTAGCTTCTATAATCACAAAAATCAACATTCTCTTGCGTAAGCTGTTTTTTTTTACGCTAAGTAAGACTAAGCTGTAGCATCATTCTAGATTATTCATTCAAAGTCCTTAATATTGCACCAAATGAATGTAAGCTACTGACTGGCTGCTGGGAATGATCCTATTGCTGCATTGTTTCAGCGCGTTCAACCAACCACATGTATGGTTTGTTTCTTTCTAGCTTTCTTTCAGCGACGTCCTCTGGTATATATATATAGATAGAAAGAGAGAGAGAGAGAGAGA